TCAGACAGACTAAATAATATACACTGATTTGGGTTATTTTTACCAAACTTATGTAGCAGTATAAATTGTTGCCTACATTTATGAAGAAAAATTACTTATTTGCAACATTTGATAATAGAAACAAAGAAAATCTTTTATTTTTTTCAAAATTATTGGTCTTTTTTTGTTTATAATGCAAAAAAATAAAAAACCCAGTGGTGATTAATTACCACCAAAGGAAAGCTCTATTTGTGTGAAAAAAATGATAAAAATGTCATGTAGGTACAATGTTGCATGATGGTGCAATTGTCATTCAAAGTGCGACCGAACTAAAAGCTGAAAATTGGCCTGGGCAGGAAGGGGGTAAAAGTGCCCAGTATGGAAGTGGTTAAATAGATTATGAATTTGTTAAAAAGTCTATTGGGTTATCATATCATTTGCTTTTTCTATCCCTCTTGGGAGATTTCCCTTCACTTACCATACTGAGGTAACAACAGGAAATGTGAAGAAATCTCCGTAAAGTTAAAGGTATGGGGTATTCCCATTTTAGCCAGTTGTCACTTGATAATTGTGTGATGCCCCCCCCTCCCCCAGCCCTTGCAGCACTGACAACTCTAAAACTTTGGATGCCCCCACCCCCATTTTCTGGCTCGGTGACAATGTTTTTTTTCATGAATGGGTACATCAATTAAAACATTAAAGAGGGTCTAGCCCAGCTGAACTCTTTAAAAAAAAATATATTTTTTGCATTTATTTACAATTTACAAGATTTTTCTTCTACCAATGTACATCACTTCATCCTTGCTTGACTGTATGCTCATCCAGTATTTGCTATATTTAGCATACTAATTTACTGCATGGAGGATAAAGCACAAGCCACGGACACTTCTATTGGAAGCCAATAAACTCACTATATTTATTGACCTTAAACACCCTAGGTCTAATGACTGAAAGTCTTACTGTTTTTCATGTATCTAATACAACATTGGAAATGGAGGGGAGACGTTGCAAGGGCAGCATAGACTGATATTTTTTTTATTTGAACATGAAGTTTTTAGTACCGGTACTTTGAAAATGGCTTGGTTTTTTACATGGTCACTTTTGACAATTTGATAATAATGGCAGATGGATTTGCCAGCCAAAATATTTAATTCAAATAATTTTTAATGTAGAGACATGCAGGACACAACAACAACCTTGATTACACCTTTCAGCCATACCTAGCCTTAATAATTTTTTTTATAAATGAGGCTAGATGTGGCTTAAGCCCCATACACATGATGAGAATACTGGATGAATGAGCATCTTTTTTTTGCATGCTAGTCTCGAATCGAAAGTGAGGAGGTTATTAAGGTTATGAAAATTCTTGTATGACAAAAAGAAAATTTGGAAGTGATGTAATGTATTTGTATAGTAATTTCGGACTAAACCTGTTCTGATTAAATGAAAATCGTACGATCTGGTATCGTGCAAGAAAAAAATTTGTGCTTCTCAGTTCAAATCATTTCAGATAAAAGCTGTGTACTGTCACTGCTTAGATTATCATACGATCAATTCTAAAGCAGTATTTTCTGTATGATTTTCTGATTTTGTGTGCTAGGCTTTAAACATGTAAGCAAGGTTGTTACTGTAAATGGCTGCAAGATGATTTGGCTGAAATATTTCAGTGAGTAGTGATGAACAAACAGGTCTGGGTTTTGTTTTTGAGAAGATCACAAACCCAGCCTGAAATCTGCAAACTCAAACACAGCTCCCAAACCCCACTGTAGTGTATGGGAGCTTGATCTAGATTATTCTACCGACTTTCAAGGCCAGTTTTTCATGAAAAAGGGAATGAGTAGCTGGGCACCGCCATGAAGAACATTTACCAATGAAAAAAATATATAAAAAAAGAGTATAATTCAGCAGGAAGCAAAAATTTTAATAAGGCTTAAGGGGCAATAACATTTGGAGGAAGATTAAACCTACACATGAAGTGACACACCTGTATTATGTACTCCCACAAAAGTGATAGGCAAAAAACTATTACTGCTAAATCATAGTTCCTGGCAGGCTTGTTTGTAAAATTCCCCTGTTTCTCCATACCAGACCCCACTACTGGATAAGGGTCTGGTATGGTATTTGAGATGAACCCATGCCATTCATTTCAGATAAAAAAGTGTTGTTTTTTTTTCTAAAAAAATATACTAGACTTTATCCTTGATAAGTGTCTGGTATAGATTTTTTAGGGGGACTTCACACAAAAAAGGGGGAAAAAAGCATGAGGGTCCTCCTGAAAATCCATATCAGACCCTTATCCAGGCATACGGCAAGCATGCGCCCCCCCATCTTAAACCATACCAGACCACATACAGACCTAAAAGAGTTAAACACACCGGTTTTATCTATTCAGACAAGGCAAAATAATGATTGTCCTAAATAGGAGATAAATATCAATTTTATTTTCCAGCTATACTTTGAAATTTAATTTAGGATTGTTACTTTAATGCTAATGAGACTGAAGATGGCAGAGAGTTTTGGAAAATGTTAATTAAATTCTTCTGTAGTGTTGACCTTTAAAGGTCAATAGCTGTGTCCCTCTTGTGCAGTAAGGCCAGCTTATGAAATAGTTGTCAATGATAGGTCAATATCTCGGAAATTGAGTGTGTCCATTCCATGCTGGAGCCTTATTACAGCGAGAGAGGAGATGTTAAATATTACTAGACTGCCAGCCAATGATCCATCTTCAGTGAAGTACGAGAACCAGTCTGGGACCCAACTCAACACAGAAGAACCGAGATTCATCAAAGATAAATAAGTGATGTCACAGCAGCAGATATATCCAATGAAACAACTTCCAGACATCTATTACAAGCATAATAATATTAAAAATAATTCACATTTTAGGTTCCTTAGGGGAGGTTAGGACTTTTAAACTAGCCATGACACTGTAAAGCCAAGGGGTGACAAAAAGGAGGCAGGACTTAGCGGCAAAAGGATTGTGATTTTGTTTATAGTACAGAGCCTGACTGTACAACTCGGTTACTTGATTCATGTGTCAGTATGTGCAGCATGATGTAGTTAAAGTCTAGGTTGGAAAAACAATACTTTTCTGCATGAAGCTGCATATGACTATCCATGGTAGACAGGGTGAAGATCTTGATTTTTCATTTTGATATGTACATAAGGTGGGGTACCATAATATGAAAAAGTAAGAAGAAATGGTAATCAGCGCAAAACACTTCTCCTTCTACCATAATATATCTGTAGTCCTGCACTTAAAGCCAGGAACCAGGAAACATCTCTTTCATAAAAATCATCTCTGCTTTTAGCCCTACTGACCCAGCTGTCAGATGCATTTTAACCAAGGAAAAACAAATACTTAATTTTTTTTATTGGAAACATAAATATGTTGCATCAATTTCTGTTTATCTGTATTGAAAGCCAAGACCAAAAAATATGTCATTTTTTTACCTTTCCAGAAAGGGAGGTTGTGTCAGATCACAAGATGGTGTGTCAGTATGTGCATCTGTACTCCTAAGCTCTTCACATACCGTATTGTGTTGGTTGCTGGCATTGGAGATAAACCAAATATTTAAACAAAGCTCCTCATAGACTTAGCGCTGACTAGTCTTTAAGTATACCTATGACCCTCGATCCTGATTGTCCTCCTGTTGTCAACCCAGCTTCTCTTTTGACCTGCCCTTGCTTTCATCTGTTACTAACTACGGCCTTGTCACGTACCTTGTAGCAGAGCCTGACGTGCATAGGGGGGCCTCTCTTACAACCCCGACTAAAGGACCACTGATGTTGTGACAGTGGCTGCTATAACGCGGAGAGGTATGAGTGCCTGTAAGATGGATGGATAGCAGGTGCGATGTCAGAGATGGGTTAGGTAGCTGGAACAGCAGATGACAGCAGGAAAAGCAGACCCAGAACTTGGTGGACAGCAGGTGGCAGTTGCTTGGCAGACAGCTAGATGGTTGTAGATGAGGGAGGGATGGCAGCACATTGCAGATGAAGGACCAGCAGGAACCAGATAGCATGCATCGTAGGACAGACAGACAACTGGATGCGTGGTCAGGCAAACAAGATCAGCAACAGAGGGTCAGATCCAGGCATAAACATCAGACAGAGAATGGTCAGGATACATGCAGAGGCCAGAAACACTGGAGCGAGCAGATTAGCAGGAGGCAGAGCAGAGTCCAGAGACAAACCAAAGACAGGGCAGATAGCATTCAAGAGTGGTTAGGACAAGCCTGGTCAATCACAGAAGTCAAACACAGGATCAGATGCAGGAACACGAGTAATAGCTGTAGATCAGACAGCACTAGCTAATACAACTTCTACAGTTTAAATAGTCCATTGGTGACAATGTTTACAGCAGGTGCGTGCATGCCCACGAAGGCAACACAAGCGTGGATCGGTGCACATCTATGCACAGCAAGGCGAGCACCTGTAGATCTGCACTTGCGCATATATATGCACCTTAAGCCTTCACTTGCATTATAGCTGCTACTTCCTTGACAAGCCCGTATCCCTGAATACACATTTGCCTGCTGATTCTGTACTTTGTTTGCAACCTGTAGCTAAACTCAGACTGTATCCTTTACAATGCACCTGCCAACAGCTCTGTTTCCTGTTGACACATCTGCTTCCCATTCTTGTACCCTATTTGCCCATTACTGACTCAGCTTAATTCCTGAGCTGACTCCCTGTTGTTGACAATATCCCCCTACACCAGCACTCTCACGTTCCATTCTGTCAGTGTCTCACCACAGGTACTTGTGCCACTCTAGGCCACCTGTCATCTTTAGAAGACCTTGGGCTGGAGCTACAAGGGTGGACATTCTCACCACTTTGGGCTCCTGAACAGTTGAGGCATAGGGACCAAGATAAAACACATTTGAAAATATCAATTTCTGAAGAAACTTCAGATGATGATTTTCCATTAATGAAGCAGTGTTCTGCGGTTCTGACAGAAGCAGAAGTATATATTTATTTACTATCTTTTTTCCAAAGATCACTTTAATAGAAGCTTTCACAGAGCTGTTTAAAGCAGGGGCGGACTGACCTTGGGCGCTGCCCGAGGGCCCGGGGTCAGTAGAGGGCCCTATGAAGTGCCCCTGGTACCTTTTATAGGCTTTTTTGGGTGTGCTTTGAGTGTGGGCAAGGACACAGGGGCCCCATGATCCCCTATTGCCCGGGGGCCCCATGAGTTGTCAGTCCGCCCCTGGTTTAAAGACAACATATCTGAGCACTGGAGGAGTTTCACAATGGCCCCAATTCATCTTTAAATAGAGCCATGTGATTCCAGTACTTTCTACAGGTTAGGGGATAGATAAATACATATATATTCCAAGCACAGCTTCTAAGATTTATGAAATGAGCAACCAGCCACAACCTCATCCATCTGCAACCGTTTACACTGGAGATAAAATAGTTGACCGGCTCAGTCTGTCCTCAGCAAATGCTATCTGCAACTGTGCAGCATTGGTTGGGGGCTGCTGAAAATAATGGTCATTGCTAGAAGCTATTATTGAACTTATAAATACCTGTTACAACATCAGTTGGAATTGATTTGCTCTCTGAGAATAATATATGAAATAAGCACATCTTACAACACTTCTAAATGCATTAGGCCTTCACATTACCTGTGATTCAGTTACTGTTCCAATAATTACTACATTTTCCTTTTGGTAACAATTCAGGAAAAGAGCCATTTATTGGATTATACTGTGCATCTTATGAAACAAGCCCAATCTAGAACTGTTGCAGGTTATATAGACACATAGCACTGTTTACTAAATATGCTCTCAGCTGAATATAACTCATCATTGTGATTTCATGGCACTTCATGCAAAAAAAAGACATAAACAAGGTGGCTTCCAGGCTGGTTTTCTGCATCTTAGTATTGATTTTCAAAAATGTACATTTACTTGAAGGAAAGAACATTTTGCATATATTTCAGAATGGAAAATAACATGTGTATCGAGCGTGTGGCATAGTTTAAAAAGATTCCGTCACCCATGGATTACTGTAATTATTTTATTTTTCACCTTTAAGTTTGTTATAATAATGTAGCCTTTCCTCTTTGAGATTTATTTTTGGGGGTATTCTCTTCCAATCAGAAGTGTCAGGTGGTAATTACTGTCCTATGGTCTGTCTAAGCTTAGTGCTGACAACACTCATAAAAAGTTACATAAGAAAGGTGCTATTAGGATTGCATGAAAGAAAAATATGGGCTTTGTTAAATGACTGTTTTAGCCTCCTCCAGAAACCTGAACAGTGTTAGTTATCGGGCCTGAGCTCAAGATGAACATGGAGTTTATGGCCTGACATTCTATGACAGAGAAAGAAAACAATTGAATAATAGCATATACCGATATCTCTGAGAGGAAAGGCTGTACTATTAAAACAATTAAGCAGTGGAGATTTAGACTCTTACAAATTCCCAATCTTAAAAGTGGGTATAAGCAGACACTGGAGGTGCAAATTATAGAAGACTATATGACTACTATCAACCTATTCCTGTATGCCAAGGTGCTAGATGTATCCTGGACCCTGAGCTATCCTTTCAGCCCCATATCCAATCACTGTTCAAAGCTTGCCACCTCAACCTACACAACATCTCCAAAATACGCTCCGTCCTAACCAATGACACTGCAAAACTTCTAATTCACTCCCTGGTCTTCTCTCGCCTCGACTACTGCAACTGCTCCTCATTGGCTTACCTTTACAAAGGCTATCTCCCCTCCAGTCCATCATGAATAATGCTGCTAGACTCATCCACCTTACCAACCGTTCAGTGTCTGCTACTACTCTCTGTCACTCCCTCCACTGGCTTCTGCTCACCCAAAAAATTAAATTCAAAATACTAACAACCAGGGGCGGACTGACCATTTGAGCACTCGGGCACTGCTCGAGGGCCTGGAGTCAGTAGGGGGCCCCATGAGATGCCCCTGGTACCTTTCATTGACTGTTTCATAGGCTTTTTTGGGTGTGGGTGAGGACACAGGGCCCCATGATCCCCTATTGCCTGGGGGCCCCATGAGTTGTCAGTCTGCCCCTGCTAACAACTTACAAAGCCATCCACAATTCTGCCCCTAACTACATCACTAATCTAGTCTCAAAATATCAACCAAATCATTCTCTTCATTCCTCCCAAGACTTTCTGCTCTCTAGTTCCCTTGTCACTTGTTCCCATACATGTCTCCAGGACTTTTCCAGAGACACTCCCATCCTATGGAATTCCCTACCCCAATCTGTCCAACTGTCTCCTACTCTGTCTACTTTGCGATGATCCCTGAAAACCCTTTTCTTCAGAAGAACCTATTCTGCCCCTATCTAATAACTGTACTTTTATTTTCCCCATCAGTTCCTCCCCCACAGTTATTAACTCTTGTATCATTTGACCCTCCTTTTTAGATTGTAAGCTCCAATGAGCGGAGCCCTATGATTCCTCCTGTATAGAATTGTATTGTAACTGTACTGTCTACCCTCGCATTGTAAACCATTGCACAAACTGTTGGTGCTATATAAATCCTGAATAATAATAAGAAGAAATGATTAAGGAGATCTATGGGAGGGTATGCACAGACAACATATGAGTACTACTGTGCAAAAAAGATGTCAGTGGTGGTTGATTATGATTGGTAATAACATGGGTGGAAAGACAGTAGGGGGTTTATTTACTAAAGCTGGAGAGTCCAAAATCAGACTCCCTTCTGCATAGAAACCAATCAGCTTCTAACCTCAGCTTGTTCAATGAAGCTTTGGCAATGAAACCTGGAAGCTGATTGGTTTCTATGCAGAAGGGAGTCTGATTTTGGACTCTCCAGCTTTAGTAAATAAACCCCTAGGTGTCTAGTGTAGGGAATTAAAATGGTCAGAAACAACATTGCATAACTGTCTGTGAAGGTTTTCAGATATCCCGATTATTTTATAGGCAGAAATAGTTAGTAAGCGTGAGCAAAACTGGCAGACTTCTATTCACAAGACACTTCAGCAAAATGGGAAAGGCAACATTTTGGCTTTTTATGGTTGTTTTTAAGGATTATTAGGCCTTCAAATGGCTCCTGTGTATATTTTGTTTATGTTTTGACTGCTCTTTAGTTTGTTTTTAAAATTAATTTTACTGTTTTTGAGGTGTTTTAGACAACAGGGGTGAAAATGTTTTGAAAATAGCATTTTTAAAAAAATTATTTTATTATGGCAAATTTTCCCAGATACAGCAAATTAAGGCATCATAGAAAATCTTTCAGTCTATCAAAAATGCAATAGATTCACACATATACGGCATATAAGAATGACAGGAAAAAGATAAAACCAATGTATAAAATTGCTGACTGCATCTGCACAGCTTTGCATATATTACAGGTACAATCAGTGAAGCAAAGGGGCCACAAGGCCCAAGAGAAATCATACCAAAATCTGTCAGTGAAATTAAAGCTAATGGAACTGAGCCAATACAGGAATAAAAAAACAGGTATGCTGACAAATGTAACACTTATACATCATGCATTTATCAACAGGTATTTTCAAATGACTCATAACTCATATAACTCACCAGTTTACATCTGGGAGAAAAGATAGTAAAGGAAAGTCAGAGGAAAAAGAAAAAGGGGGGGGGGGGGGGAACGTTGTCCCTGAATTGTTCTGTCAGCTCTTCCAAATGAGCGATATCATTGAGTACCACAAGACTCTGGGTGGCAGTTGGGGTTGTCTCTGCAATACAAGGATGCAAGCCTGAAAATAGCATTTACATTTTTAAAAGACTGTACACTGTAGGCATTATTTAAATTATTTTGATATTCCTCAAATTTTCTAAAAATTTTCAAGTTGCTAATTTTCACATTGTATAAAAAATAAGCAAAAAAAGCAAAGAAAAACAGAAAACTTTTTTTTTTACATTTTTATTATTGTTTTCTTAACATGCATAATGGTAATCACTGATTATGCTCACACATAATAAGACAATAAAAAGAAAAAATACATAATTATTTTGTAGTGATATTCATTATTTTCTGACAAACAAAACCCATTCATTAAATAAATTGGTACTGCGCAATGCTGAGGACTGCTGCTAACATCTATCACACTCTACCTAGAATGTGTAAATACATATAAACATTGGGGTGTAGTGCTGATCCTCAAAAAGGTAAAGTAATGTAAACCCCTCAATAGGAGTGTATTTTCTATATTATGGGTTTGGATCCCTGAAATATCAAAAAACCTTCCCGTACCACAGGACACCCTCCTCCTTCCTAAAACTTAGGAGATCAATGAGATGACCCTTGGGAGTCCTAACATCCTACAGAGCACCCTTCCTTACTGAGTGTGGGTCAGGTGGGTGTGGCAGAAAACATCAGATACAACAAGGATCTCCTCAGCTGATTCTACATAGTGAGTGGATGAAAATAAATAAAAATTTAAATTATAATTCCTCCCTCCTAGTCAAAAAATGTGAAGTGGTTACCACTTCCCAGATAATACCCCATTAACTGGAATCCAACAAAGGACACCATAGCTTAGATGGGTCACTGCTATGAACTACTCCGAAAACGTTAATGCCTCCAAAGACCCCAACCGCCAAAGGTCCCAGGGCCTGAACAATATACAACAGGGCAGGAAGATTCCTACTCGTCCGCTGCTCCCAAAGATTTTGCCGCTCCTGAGTCTCCTCCTTCTAAACCCCCCCCCAAGCAGCTCCACCTACTCTCCGCAACTCCCAATGCAGTAAGTGACTGCCTTTTCTGACTAAATATATCTTAACCCTGTCCTGCCTTGTATCCCCTGTCCCCCTTGTCATGTAGCCCTTCACCTATTTTTTTTTTTTCTTAGGGCTTATATTTATTAGTAGTTAGTCATATCCAACTGAACTTGTTCTGTAGTGTTGAAAACAATGTTTAACAGAACAGTTGAATGTGACTAACTTTTACTATCATTTGACATATTTGACATATCATTATCTGTTACTACAACAAGACATTGTGTTACTGTAAAATGACCACATCTTACGTGGTCATTTTACTGTAAAAATATAGCACTTCATCCAGCTACAAAACCTCCTCTAGACACAGAGGTGTTCATTTATGAAACTGAGATATGTTAGGGTGATGAATATCACAGCTTATCTCCACTGTGCAGTTTACAAAGCTGTGATGAAGAGTGGAGATGCTAATATACATACACTGCTAAAAAATTTAAAGGAACATTTTTTAATCAGAGTATAGCATGAAGTCAATTAAACTCCTGAGATATAGATCTGGTCAGTTAAGTAGCAGAGGAGGTTGTTAATCAGTTTCAGCTGCTTTGGTGTTAATGAAATTAACAACAGGTGCACTAGATGGGCAACAATGAGATGACCCCGAAAACAGGAATGGTTTTACAGGTGGAGGCCCCTGACAGGTTTTTCCCTACTCATCTTTTCGGACTGTTTTTCACTAGTTGGCTAAGGGTCAGTGTCACTACTGGTAGCATGAGGCGATACCTGGACCCTACTGCAGTTGCACAGGCAGTCCAACTCTTCCAGGATAGCACATAAATGCGTGCCATTGCCAGAAGGTTTGCTGTGTCTCCCAGCACAGTCTCAAGAGCATGGAGGAGATTCCAGGAGACCGGCAGTTACTCTAGGAGAGCTTGACAGGGTCATAGAAGGTCCTTAACCCATCAGCAGGACCAGTGTCAGCTCCTTTGTGCAAGGAGGAACAGGATGAGCACTGCCAAAGCCCTACAAAATTATCTCCAGCAGGCCACTGGTGTGAATGTCTCTGACCAAACAGTCAGAAACAGACTTCATGAGGGTGGCATGAGGGCCCGACATCCTCAATGACATGACATTTGCCATTGAACACCAGAATTGGCAGGTCTGCCACTTGCTGTGCTTTTCACAGATGATAGCAGGTTCACCCTGAGCACATGTGACAGACGTGAAAGGGTCTGGAGAAGCCATGGAGGACGTTATGCTGCCTCTAACATCGTTCAACATGACTGTTTTGGTGGTGGGAGACATATCCTTGGAGGGACGCACAGACCTCTACAGGCTAGACAATGGCACCCTGACTGCCATTAGGTATTGGGATTCTTCAACCCATTGTCAGACCCTACGCTGGTGCAGTGGGTCATGGGTTCCTCCTAGTGCATGACAATGCCCGGCTTCATGTGGCAAGAGTATGCAGGCAGTTCTTGGAGGATGAACGATTTGGTACCATTGAATGGCCCCCACGCTCTCTTGAACTAAATCCAATAGAACACCTCTGTGATATCATGTTTCGGTCCATCCGACAACGCCAGGTTGCTCCTTAGACTGTCCAGAAGCTCAGTGATGCACTGGTCCAGACCTGGGAGGAAAGACCCCAGGGCCCCATCCGTCGTCTCATTAGGACCATGCCTCGACATTGTCAGGCATGCATACAAGCATGTGGGGGCCATACAAACTACAGAGTACCATTTTGAATTGCTGTAATGAAATTTCAGCAAAATGGACTAGCCTGCTGCATTATTTTTTCACTTTGATTTTTGGGGGTGTCTTTGAATTCAATCTTCTGTAGGCTGATAATTTTCATTTCCATCAAACAGTGGAGCATCCTTACCTTCCTAACACATTACCCAGTCCATATCAGTATAGATATCTAGCATGATAGTTTTCCCCATTGAGATTTCATGTGTTTTCAAAGTGTTCCTTTCATTTTTTTGAGCAGTGTATATCAGGGGCGGACTGACCATTTGGAAACTCGGGCACTGCCCGAGGGCCTGGGGTCAGTAGGGGGCCCCATGAGATGCCCCTGGTACCTTTTTCATAGGCTTTTTTGAGTTTGGGCAAGGACACAGGGGCCACATGATCCTCTATTGCCCGGGGGCCCCATGAGTTGTCAGTCCGCCCCTGGTGTATATACATACAGGGCCACTCTCATATCTATCTATCTATTATACACAGGGCCACTCTCATGTCATCTATGGCGTCTAATAGTTGGGATAAGTACACTAAATGCGTATCACTGGGTGTACAAAGTAGTTGTGATGATATTTACGGTTTAAACACATGTCAATGTTGCTAATTTGTGCTTAAGCAATTAGATTTGTTTTACCCTTAGGCTTGAAGGGGTTAAAGAGTGCCACACTTCACCAACCTGTGTGCAAGTAGCTGTCGTATTACCGCATCCTAACACTCTCGAGCATCGTGACTTGGGGAAGGGCTTTGAC